TAAATAAATAAATAAATAAATATATATATATATATATATATATATATATATGTGTGTGTGTGTGTGTGTGTGTGTGTGTGTGTGTGTGTGTGTGTACAAATACATACACACGCACACACACACACACACACACATACACACACACACACACACACACACACACACACACACATATATATATATATATATATATATATATATATATATATATATATATATATATATATATATATATATATGTATATATATATATATATATATGTATGTATATATATATATATATATATATATATATATATATATATATATATATATATATATATATATATAAATATATATTTATATATATATATATATATATATATATATATATATATATATATATATATATATATATATATATATATATGCATATATGTATATATATATGCGTATACATACATATGTATATATATATATATATATATATATATATATATATATATATATATATATATATATATATATATATATGTATATACATATATATATATATATATATATATATATATATATATATATATATATATATATATATATATGTATATATATATATATATATATATATATATATATATATATATATATATATATATATATATATATATATATATATATATATATATATATATATGCATATATGTATATATATGCGTACACATACATATATATATATATATATATATATATATGTATATATATATATATATATATATATATATATATATATATATATATATATATATATATATACATATCTATCTACGAATACCATTCTGTCTACACACACACACACACACAACCCCCCCCCCCCCACACACACACAGATGATAGCTGGCAGAATTAAGATTCGCATGATAAAGTTAATACTCAGAGAACAGCAGATAAAGGGAGAAATATAAATGACGGATTAAAGCCAATAACCAAGGAATACTAAATTAAAAGCATCAAGATACATAGTGTACAGAAGTGAAGAGAGAGCGGGGGATTGAATGAAGGTTCATTAAATGAAGTGAAGGATAAAAAGAAATTAGAGAGCGCAGGATAAGAGTAACTAGACGAAAGCTGGGGATTCAGAAAGACTCAGAGAGCGCTGGGGTAAAGATAAGTACGGGAGAGTATAGGATTTACAGTGAATAGAGGGCACAAGATAAGACATAAAAGAGGTGGTAAGTGAGAATGAAAAGGGGCTGGACTAGAGATTAAGATAAATCGCATATAGTACAAGAAAAAGAGAGAGATCGAACGAGGCTGAAAAAAAGAGTGAGAGAAAAAAAAGAGAGAGAGAAAAAAAAGTTTGCGAGTGCCGGATAGAAGCTAGGAACTGGGGAACGTTGAATGATCAAGAGTGAAAGAACACGAGTTGGAATAAGAGATTAGAGAACATTTTAGAGATTAGAGAACAGTTAGAAATCACAGGATAAAACTAAGAAATATTTTTTTTCGGATAAGCAAGAATTAGAGAACGTTACATAAGACAAGATTTAAAAGACATAAGGTTAAATAAAGATGAGAAAGAACTAGGCAAGAGAGCGCTGGATTAAACAAATAAAGAGTTAAAGAATGCTGGATGATGGTAATGCATGGTAACTGAAGAAGAATGAAAGAGCGCTAGTTACAGCAAGTATGAGAGAGAATGCTAGCTGAAACAGGACGTAAAAAAGACTTGGATAAAGCAAGAATAAAACGAGGATTACCATATGCTGGATTAAACGGGGATGGAAGAAGGCTGGATAAAGAAAGAAATAGAGGGCGCGAAATAAAGCTTTCAACCGGCTTTCGAACATCGCTCTAACAGTTCCATTTTTGCATGTTATTAAACGAATGAGTTATCGTCCCCACTCACCCTACCTCTCTCCCTGCCTTCTCCTCTCCCCCCTCTCCCCCCTCTCCCCGTTTCCTCCTCCATGTCATATTCACCCCTCCTCCCTCCTCCTCCCCTCTCCCCACCCCCTATTCATGCTATCCTCCCCACCTCATTCTCCCCTCCTCTTCTCTTAGACCTCCACCCCCCCCCTCTTCACCCCTCCCTTCGCCCCCACCTCCTCTTCTACCCATGCCCACCATCCCACCTCCCCTCCCCTGCCCCGCATATCCATTTACCCTCATGTTTCGTGCATATATTCGGTAAAAGCCATAAAATCCACATCGTCAGCCATTTTCCCCTAAAGCGCGAGGTTATCACTTGCCGTTGAAAATTAAACCATTTATCAGCTGGCAGCGATTTGTGATTTCGAACATCGGTGCCGCCTTCTGGGTGTGAGTGGGTGTGACGGGTTTTCACGTTCCACTCCCGGGGGTCGTGGCACTGTATTGGCACTGGGCTATGTTGGCGCTTTATTGGGTTATATGATGTACTGTTTCCTGTAGTGTTGCTGGCACTGTGGATGTCTGTGTTAACTTGCAGTGTGCTATATTGGAACTGTGTTATGCGATATATTGGCACTGTAGATGTCTGTAT